TGTTTGAGGTGTGGAGGCAAACAAATGGTGGTTGAGGGGAGGGAAAAAATGGACTGTGTAAAGGAGCAAAAGAAACTGGGAGGGGCAGGAGGGTTTTTAACCTCAATGAAAAGGGCTTTTTAGCCCACAAGGCTTTTGAACCTCATATTTGAAAACTGGAGGCATAAATGGAGAGGATAAAACTGTCTACGAAGGAAATGGTAAATACAAAAAGATAAGGTCTAAGAAAAGAGACACTGTTTTCTTCTTTTCCCCTAGGACTTGACTTTATAAAGGAATGCCCTATCTTTGGCCAAGAATAATAGCAAATAGGCAAGGAACTGGAAAACAAATTCTGTGTAGCCATAGAGTTCAGGCTACAAAGGGTTAAATATTAGCTGTTCAGCTGCTGAGGAGAGATGACGAAATGGGAGGTGACTGGCTGAGCCACCTCTGCTCAGTCCTTACCATGCTCTATGGGAAGGCAGTAGGCCATTTTCCTAAACTAGGTAGACAGGAGGGCCATCTCCCAACCACTAAAAAATGCCTTATGTTTCCATCTTTGAATAACAGAATGACTCTTGTGTTCTTGATAAGGAGAGAATAAATATAGCATTTCACAGACTATATAAAGCTAGATAATCCAACAGCCTCATTTTACAAATAAAGGAGCTGAGAACAAGAGAATAACCTAAGGTCTCACCGCTTTAGTGAGAAAGCTGTGACTGGATGGGGGTCTCCAGATTCCCAGGTCAGTGTTCTCTCACATGGCCTCAACACCAGCTTCTTCCTGTTGTAAATGACGGTTATTTCCTCTTTGGAGAAGTGCTAATGATAACGATTCTGTCAGTCATTCAATAAAGATTGAATGCTTTTAAATTGAAAGTACAAGTACTAAAGTAACAAGAAAAACATGGTCCTGGCCTTCAAGACACTTCAGTCTGGAGGAAAATATGGGCATGCTTTTACCACTGGAGTACAGAAAAAGGATAAAATATTTGTATATATGTTTATCATTTTAATATAATGTATATAATAGTACATAATTTATCAAGAAATATATATTTATTGGATGTATGTGTCCAAAATTTATTCTTTGATATAAAGTTCCCTAGCTTCATGAGACACTGTCCTATTATAAGCTAGTTAAAGATATGCCTCTCCCCTAGAGCTTTCCATTTAAAATTGCAATTATCCAGGTGTACCAGCAGGCTTACGTAACAAGGGTGCTGTAATGTGCAGAACATCCAGATGTGTGGAGCCATAGCCAGCGGTGGGCTCCTCTGTACAGCTCTGAGGATATTTGGCTATGAAAAATTATTAATGTTTAAGGAAGTAGTAGTTGTACTATTCTAATAGGTTATACCCTCCATCAAGAGCTAAGACAGGAAATTGACCAAAACTTGGATTCACAGTAAGAGCCCTTTGATTTGACCCTAGAAGCCCAACCAGACTGTTAAGAAGGGCAGGTAGGTGGAAGCCCTGTTTCTTCCTTTGGTTCTTCTGGCTCGTGTTGTTTCGGCCTAACAGTGCTCTGGATTTGCTTTGTATCCAACTCTTCTACTACCTATAATCCCAGCCAATTTTAGGGTGAAGACTGAGACAGAATTGTTCCCTCAACTGTATCCCACCCCATACACTAATCCCTGGTTTAGTTTTTTTTTTTTTTTTTTTTAACAAAAAAACAAACTCACTGGCGAGGAGTCGGATCCAACTCATAGTGACCCCTCCTTGGTTTTCCGAGGTGGTATCTCTATGGAAGTAGATTGCTCAATCTTCCTTCCGAGGAGTGGCTGGTGGGTTTGAACCGCCAGCCTTCTGGTTTGCAGTCAAATGTTTTACCATTTTCACATTTGCAAGTAACATGAAAATAAAGGTATCCATAATCAGTACAGGCTAGATGACTGTAGCCCATCTATTTTGTATTACTCCCTGGGGCTTTCTCGCCAACAGTTTTCTTGACAAAGCATGAGGTGTCTGTGTGCTTTGTCTGCAGGTGACATAGGCCCTCCCCCTTTTTAGACTTCCTGCCCAGTGGCTTCAGAATTAGCCAGTTGAAAAGGGTCTGCTGAATCTGCTTCCTGCCTGAGTAATCCTGTTCCAGTGCTGCAATCCTAGGAAGTTAACAGTGCAAAGGAGTTTGGGGTTAGAGGTCAGGTGGGGTGAAGATGGTGAAGACCTTCAATGTTGTTTAAGGGCCATGGGTGATATTGAGGAAGTGGAGGAGCACCATATATATCCAACTGACATTTTCTAGTAGGTTAACTGTTACATCTTTCTAGGATTAATCTTTTATTAAAACATCATGGATGTTTTCCAACTGGTGCTTGTGGATAAACATTTAATTCCTAATACTGTTCATTCATTCACAGTAATACCAGGCTTCTCATACTCTAATTCAAACTTGAGCACCACCAACATCACTTGTAAACACAGAACGGCCAGCCAATTTTCTGACTCCACCAGAGGCCTACTGAATCAAAACCCTGGAGGTGGGTTCTAGCAATCTGTTTGACAAGTCTCCAGGTGAGTCAAGTTTGCCAACCACTGTACTAGAGGACTGTTTTGTCTTCTGCCTGTTAACTCCAGCAAGGCTCTATTCCACTGGCCTTAACCCCACTGCCACTGCATTGATACCAATTCATAGTGGCCCTTTAGGACAGAGTAGAACTGCCCTGTATGGTTTCTAAGGCCATAAATCTTTATGGAAGCAGACTGCCTCATCTTTCTCCCGTGGAGCAGCTGGTGGGTTCAAACCACCAACCTTTAGCTGAATGCTTTAACTGCTACACCACCAGAGGTCCTTCTACAGGCCTGAGAGAACAACTATTTGAAAATAACTCCCTTAGCATTTCCCAACATTGCTCAGGGCTGTGTGTTGTGTTCCATGCACACCACAATGAAAACAATCTGTTGAACTTACCCACCAACTGGGCCAAGTTCATGATTAATTTCAGCCTTGTCCAAACAGAAGCATAATTTCAGAAACATCTGTCTTGGGGAAAAATGTCTACAATGAAGTTACTGCTCACTTCAACTGTCTGTACTTCTGGATTAGTAGTGAATGCGTTTTACTTTGTCCTCTCATTTGAGCTCAGACTCTTTAATGGAAAATCATTATTTTGCCACTTGCATCTCACTGCTCATCAAATAACCCAAGCAGAAAAGGGGATGGAAAGCCTTAGTTGTCTTCTGTCCTAGCTGCTTTTCAGGAGGCTGCTAATATGGAGCAATCACGGGAAAATTCAAATCAAGAGGAAAATTCAAACTGAGTCTCTAGTTTACACACTTGTAATGGCCATTTGTTTTTGGCTGCCCAATCTTTAGTCCCTCTTCCTCCCAACAAACTCTCTCACCCTCAATAACCAAAAGTAGTCTGGTTAAGATGAGAAATCTAAGGGCCTACCTTTCACTATGGCAGCCTATGGGGCCACCAGATCCTTTCCTCTTACACCTCAGTATGGTAGCGTAGTGCCTAAGGCACTTGACTGCTAACCAGAAGGCTAGCGGTTCAAACCCACAGCCACTCCTTGGAAGGAAGATTGGGCAATCTACTTCTGTAAATGATACTGTCTCAGAAATCCAAGGAGGGGTCACTATGAGTCAGATCTGACTCAACGGCACATAACATAACTCAGTATGAACAAGGGATACTACTTTGTTCAATAATTCAAATCTCTTGGTGAATGCTTCCAAACCAGAGTCAGACAATGAAGACATAAGAAGCAATGCCAGAAAACTGACATTAGACAATCTGGCAGAAGGGTTCTAATTATTCAAGACTGCTTTTGACTTCTTTCTGACATGGACCCTTCTATGACACAGGCACTGAAACTCAAGCAAATGGTGGAACGATTGGTACAGTTTAGAAACATTTTTCGAAAAACAAACGACTAGTCAGAAATTACGAAGTATTTCTGAAAAGTTACACCGTGCACCTGCCTCTCTTCCACCTTTGCCACCAGAGACAGCATGACCAACCCCTTCCTCCTCCTCCGCCTACTCAATATAAAGACCTTTATGATCCACTTCTGCTTAATGAACAGTAACTAGCATGCCATACAGTTAATAGACTTATCTGTTCTGTGAGTCCTCATGTGAAAAATCTAGTTACGTAAACAGCAAGAACTGTGTTAACCATCTGTTATTGATAAAGCTTCTGGTCATCAGTAAGTATTTAAATGTTAAGTCTTTGGGGACTCAAAAATTATACAGATTTCAACTACATGGGGCATTGGCACCCCTAACTCTCGTGGTGGTCTAGGGTCAGCCGTGTATTCCTGTTGGAAATACCCATTCTGTAATTCCTACTTCCTGACCCCCATGAGCAGCCTTGGCTCTGCTCTTCCTCAAGCACATTTCCCTACCCTCTCCCAATCACCCCAACTTGCTAATTCCCATTTTGCTTAAGGAAATCAGACAGAATTGGTTTCTATGTTTGCAGTCCATTGTCAGTTGAGGGCCAGTAGCCACCAACAGTAATGTTTGTGACCTAACTGACTCTGACTCAGAGGAAAACTTCAGTATAAACAAAAAAGCACCTTGTCTCTTCTACAATGACTAGATTGTAAAGCCTAGGGACCCATACAGAATGCTGCTGGTTCAAAAGCAGTTCCTTCTTTTCAAATTGTGATGCAACTAATGGAGTAGGTAGGCCACGTAAAGTGGTAACCACTTGTCTCTGAAGAAAAGATGTAAAGGGAAAGAGGAAGTTCTATTTTAAATTGAGTCTTAGCCCACGCAGCAGGTTATAACCAGATAAGCACAGGCAGTTAGCGCCACCTGAGACCCTAAGCAGTGACAGGTATATTTGAAACTAATCAAACCTCTTAATTTTAATGCACATTCAACACCAACCTGCCATTAATGTAGAGTTGGCGAGTACAATGGAGAATGATAAACAGTCATGGGGCTCCTAACAGGAATTACAGGTCACTACTCTTGTCAATCTGTGCAAGTTTCCAGGCCTCAGGCCTAGGGTTGCTCCAAATAAAAAAGGGAACCACTCATATTTATCAGCTTTAACTTCCTTCTCATAATTTACTGGAACTGGAAAATGTATTCTATAACAAAATGTATACAATTTAGTAATCATACAAAACATTAATTTAGCAAGATGGTATTGGTTAGTCAACAAAACAAACACTCAGCATACTTTTCTCACTGCCACTTCTGTGAAAAGTTGAGATAAATAAAAAGCCACTGGCTGAAAAGTCACAACAGAACCAATTTAAACTGGACATTGAACAGAAAAGTTAAATCTTCCAAAATAATACTGCAGACAGAGTCACTTGGGGGCTCCATGCTGCCAAGAGCATTACCGGAACGTTTCACAGAATCCATCTCTCCTAATGGGACAAAGCTTTCCAAAACCAACACTTAAAACATCAGAAGTAATACAAAATAAGGAGTTCTTTATTATTTATACAAAATTTGTACATTAAAAAAAAAAAAAATTAAGATTCCACAACTTTGCTGAGCCCCTGAGGAAGCTAAGAGTTTTCATGGGTCCGTCTAGGAGCTCAGTGTGAATGTTTCAGTCACCAACCTCCTGGCCACAGGAACGGCACATGCTCCTCCAGGGCCATTCACGTGGCTTTTCCACTGGCGCTCTCGGCAGACTTTCCCTTTCATTAGGCTTGACAAGCCAGCCCGGGTTTTCTGGCCAACAGGAAAGAACACCAGCTTCTCCAGCCCAAACTGAGTATTTTATCAGCGCCCAGGCTGATTTGTATTTAGCTCTTGAACATTTTCATTAAACTCCTTATATAAGCTTTACTACAACATATACAGATTTGATACAACTGTTTACAAAAACTATCCAGATTTTTCACTTAAATAAAATGTCTTTTAAGAAATTTATGTTGTCTTAGAGAATTTTTTCTTTCAAACTTGGGTTTTCTACTCTGAGTTCTGAGAGAGGTCAGAGATGTGTTTATACTCAATCAACAGTCACCCTGCTGAACATTCAGAGCACAAAACCTTGCCTTTCCTCAAGCCTTATGCTAAAAAAGATGTGGTACAGCCAATCTAGACAAACATTTATATTTGGACAAGAGACCTCCCTGAACGAACAGCCTGCGACAGTAAGTGCAGTTAGCTGCTTTCTTGCCTAGTGTACTATTCAGCATTGCTTAGCACTTTCTGTAGTTTGGGAATAAGAGTCACTCTTCTCTTGAAGAATGCAGGTCCCCTTCTGAAGAATAATGTTTAAAAGCTACTCCCCAAAAATCAAGATAGACCAGCACCAAATGAAATTATTAATTCACAAAAAATAAACTTAGTTCTTATTTCTTAAAGTTCTATAATCCAGACTTAATAACTTAACTATAAAATCAGAAGTTTCATCAGCTACAGTATAATTTAAAAATCCACTTTCATCCCAAGGGGGAAAATCTCACACTGATCACCATGAACATCATGAGTTTCATCAAGACACTTTGCCCAGCTTGTGTTCTCTTGCAGAAGTAAGCTGTAGATTACCATCTGTGACGCTTTAAAGCACAGTAATATCCACGTTGAGATCGTTCAAGAAACAAAGCACGTAAAGACTGAAGTGTTTTCAGATCTGAGGGCTGTCACGGGAAGGAGGACCTCAGACCTCTCTGAAAGATCCCAAAACCAAGCAGTTGTCTCACTGATCATGCCTATTCATCCTCAACAAATACTGCATTGAGCTTTTTAATTCACAGATTTTATGTTAGTCCTTTAGAACCAAGTGCCCACGTGTCAGTTCGGAAGAGTTGAGCTATTCAAGCTGTTTTCTTTGTGCAAGTTCCTTGGAGGTCTTGTAAATTTATCTTTGACCTGTAGCAGAAGACGACAAAGCAGTGATAGGTAAGATATCAGCAACAGAGTTTGAAGTTCACACTATTTATCTGAATAAGCTTTTATACTGCATACTTAAAAAAAGAAAAAAAAAAAAACTGTAGGCAAACTTCAAGATACTGTAGATTTGGTTCCAGACCACCATGATAAAGCAAGTATTTTGGTTCACAGTACATATAGAAGTTATGTTTACAATATATTGTAGTCTGTTGAGTGTGCAGCAACATTATAAAAAAGTGTGAAATATCCTGAGAATTATCAAAATGTGACAGACTAGCTCAACAGTGTCGCCAAAACCTTCAATTTATTAAAAAAAGGCAGTATCTGTGAAGTGCAATAAACTGAAGCACAGTAAAACGAGGTTATGTCTGTAGAGGGAAAACATGTTTACTATGTCTCTTAAATCTTACCTGTTATGAATCATGTGACTTCTGACAAGATGTCCTGCTGCCAGTGCTGCCATCAGTGATAACTCCCCAGCCATTACTGTACCACACACAATTCTGGCAAGCTGCCGGGCATTTTCTCCCGGATTCTCTCTACTTGCCCCTTGAACACCTAACATCTGCAGCCAGAGAGAAACAGCAGGTTTATCCTTAATATCATGCACAACAATTTGGTGCTAATAACTCAACTAAAATAAGAGCAACTACAATGGCATCGGAAGAAAACTAGACTCCACCGAAGTAGTAAATTTACAAGATCTGACAAACAGAACTGTTCAACATATGCTCTCCTCCTCTACTTTCTGAATTTCTTAAATATATGCTAAGCATGCTTATTTGGGCACAATGGATTAGGCTGGTGGGAAATAAAAGCATCAAAAGGTCAGCTGCAACATACTCATGTGAGTGCTATGTGGTGTCAGGTAGAAACAGAATCCCAGGGAATCAGAACTAAGTTTGAGATCATGAAACTCTGTGCCTAATGCTTCGTACCTGCAAACAGGCTTGCTGAGGTAACAGGTTAGTCCCACCACCCACGGTTCCTATTTCTATAGATGGCATGGTACAACTGATATACAAATCTTCATTTGTGGGACCACTTGCTTCCATTAAAGTAATACAGTTTGAGCTACCAACATTCTGTGCTGCATCCTGGGGAAAATAATAAAAAAGAAAAAATATAAAATATACTTCCCTCACTTAGCACCACAGAACAGAAGAGAAGGAGTCTGGAGACCTCACCTGCCCACAAGCGATATAGATAGCAGTTACGATATTGGCAGCATGCGCATTGTAGCCACCTATGCTCCCAGCCATGGCAGAGCCCACCAGATTCTTATTAACGTTCACCTCAATCATGGCTTCTGTCGTAGTCTTCAATACCTAGGAAGCAGAGTTGTGTACGTTTCACTCTGTCCCCCAGGGGATTCAGAGGAGTGTTACCAAGAGCTATCTTTCTGTACTCCCAGAAAACAAGAGAGTTAAGATGTGGCCTGACTTGAAGGCCCTGTCCTCAATAAAGAGAGTAAAGAGTGTGACTGTAATGCCACATACAGACAGATGGGCAAGGTAAGAGAAAAGAGTCATCTTTAATGTAAAATACTCCCACATAATAAGCTTTGATTAAAATGTTAATGCCCCTTTCCCCTATTTTTTAATCTAATGGAAAATTAACAAAATAAAATACACATCTGCTCACTCACTTCTCTGACAACCTTGGCTGGAATGACAGCCTCACAAACAACAGACTTTCCTCTTCCCTCTATCCAATTTATAGCAGCAGGTTTCTTGTCAGTACAATAGTTTCCACTAACTGCTAGAATCTGCATTTCAGGGAAAAACTCGTGAAGTTTTGAAAGTGCTTTCTCTGTACCCTATTAAGAACAACAACAAAAAAAAGCAAGTAAGTTGTTAGTAAGACTCATAAAGTATCTATCATTATAGATCAGAAAGCTTTTATTTGTAGCTATGTATTTATTTCTAATTACAATAATTATGCTTTATAGAAAATGCGCAAAAAAGTAACAGCTGTTTTATTAACCATTAGTGTTACGTTATTTCTCAATTACATGTAGATTCCTAATGTGTTTCTTTCAATAAGAACCAAGTTCTCTGTAGACATTCATGAATAGTAACTAAGAATACAAAAATGAGAATGCACATATTAAAAAATAATCAGTGAAAATATAAGAAAAAATCATTCGTCACTGAGAACTAACTCTATCCATTTCAACATGTTTTAAATTCCATCTTCCATTCATTAAAACGTTACCTAAAACCACAAATTACCAAGCCAAAACATAGAAGTAGTTGTTAAAGTCAGCCTCGACAGCAGTGACAAGTTGTCATGATTTACATCACATAAAATATAAACAAACTTTCCAGTGACTTCCAATTAACTGAAATTAACAATTCATACCTCAATTCTCAAAAACATACTCATCAACACTTTTTAAAGCTTAAGCATTTAATCATTATACTCTCTCTTTACCAATAGTCCTTATGAACAGGTAAATGACAAAATAAACTGTTAGCCTGACTAGCCAACTATCTATCTCATTCTGTTGTCAGTGAAGGAGATGCAGATAGTCATTTCATAACAAATAAAAAGCTCAACTGATTTTAATGTTTTATATTCTATCTATAGATAACCGAATATGAGCAGAATAAAATGCAGGCCATATACAATCTTCTTAGATGTAAGTAAAGAGACCATTACATGAACAATAGCTGGCCTCTTAAATTAAAAAATAAACAAAACAAACAAACCAGTTGTCACTGAATCAATTCCAATTCATGGTGACCTCAAGTGTATCAGAGTAAAACTGTGCTCCACATGGTTTTCAATGGCTGATTTTTCAGAAGCAGATTACCAAGCCTTTCTTCTGAGGCAATGGGTGGACTCAAACCCCAATGTGTTGGTAAGCAACTGAGTGAAATAACTGACTGTATCAACCAGGGACTCCCGCCTCTTAAATACATGTCCGAAAGTCTCTGGAAGAGGTCAGCTTCAAGGTTTATAGGACAAAATTTCGAAATGTTAACCCTAACACTCTTCTCAACCCTTCTGAGAGGACCCAGAATATACATATAATGCTGTGGTAGTTAAAGTGGCATGTCAACTTGGCTGGACCTGGCTGAGTGGCTGGGCAGCTGATGGTAGTTATTCCCCATGATGAGACTGACAATCAACTCCATGGTGGGATCTAACACAAGGAGCTGAGCAGCTGCCTTAGGGATGTGGTTTGCTTCCTGTATATAAGCAGCAGCTTTGGGAACGGTCTCTAGCTTATGACATGCTTGAACCCTGCATGTAGCTGTGTCATTCTTCAGTAGCCTGCCATGCTCTGCCGACTTTGGAACTTTCAATGGACTTGAATTAATGGCCTGCCATGTGGTTGGTAACATCAGGACTGTGCCATTTTATTTGTCAATCCCGGGCCTGTTAGCCTCTGCAGCCAGTAGCTGCCTGAGTGAAGAGGTGCCTCTAGCTTCAGTGGACCGGGAGCAAGAGGCAGAGATAAAGCTCAAGGTCGAGGGGCTTTCCAGGCTTTCACCCAGCCCCTAAAGCCTGGGACTTTGAACTCGGACTTAAAGCCTCCAAACTGTAAGAGAATAAGCTACTGTTTGTTAAGGCCATCCCTTTTGTGGTATATTCCTGTCAGAGCAGCACTAGGAAACCAGAACAAATGCCAAACCTAAATTAAATATATGAAGTACAAACAATAAATAAATGCCTGATTATGTAACATCAACTAATATCTACTTTTCAATAAAAAAATTCTTCATGAATTGACTATTTGAACAAGTAATATATGTACATGATACTTTATATAGAGGCTATAAAGTAAAAAAAGAGTGCACTCCCACCCATCTCCTGCCACCCAGTTCACCATCTCCTGGGACCACCACTCTTACAAATTCTATATATCCTTTCAGATATAGTCTATCCATGCTCACCTTCGAAATCATGTTCATCCCCATGGCATCACCTGTCCTGGACTGGAAACGAATATAAAGGTTGCGTCCAGCCAGACTTGAATGAATTTTCTGTAGACGTGCAAATCTATTAGCAAAAGATTTATTTTATTTTATTTTTTTAAAGAAGAAAGAAGTTACCTTAAAATCAAGTTCGGTCACCTCATTTTACACAAAAGGGAAAGTCCATGAGATTACTTATTAAGTGCATCATCATCAACTAAATAACCTATTGGGGATACTATGCCAACAGTTTCATTTTTCAGTGCCACAAGAGGGAGCTACAGATAGCCATTTCAACGCAAAATACAATGCAATGCACTGCCAAAAAAACAAACTCACTGCCATCAAGTCGAACCCGACTCACAGCGACCCCTCGAGTTCCCGAGGCAGTATCACTACAAAAGTAGATTGCCCAGCCTTCCTTCTGAGGAGTGGCTGGTGGGTTTGAACCGCCAGCCTTCTGGTTAGCAGTCAAATGCCTTAGGCACTATGCCACTAGCATGAACTATACTAGGGTCTCATTTAATTCATTATTCATCTTTGTTAAATTCAACTTTCTCCATTCAGTAAATCAAGTACACTACTTATATCCTGCTTGGGAAAAATCTTTCTGCTCTAATCAACTGAATAATGCCTTGTAATTCTAAATCAAAACTCCCCTGAGGCAAAGTAACAATCTAATCCAAGTGAGCCTTCTAAAACCAATACACAAACTTACTAGTTTATACTTTTTTTTCCCCTAATTTACCTCTATGGATGTATTCATTTAGATCCACATTCTTATTTTCCCAAACAAGCATTAATATCAGTCATTTAACCCACTTACATACCTACTGGTGCTGTCAAATGCCTCCTTCATCACTGTGAACCCTTCAAGTGTGTCAAGCCAGGCTTTCACTTCTGCAGAGTCACAAGCACGGGGAAGACGTACCACTGGGCCACGAGTCATGCCATCAGCAAGGACTCGGCTGCTGGCACCTCCACCAAGCTATGTAGCATATGGTACAGAAGCACATGTTAACTTTGAGAACACTTCTCCTTGTCCCAAAAGGTGTCTTTGTCCCCAAATCTCTTCTTGTTGCCTTGCCTAATATATATATATATATATATGTATAATAAATATAATTTCTATAAATATAAATAAAAACACCAACTTACACCTATTGCTCTGCAGCCTCTATTAGTGCTGGCCACAAGACAACCTTCTGTTGTTGCCATTGGAACCTGAAATTCTTTCCCATCCAAGCACAGAGGTCCTGCCACTCCAACAGGGATGGGCATATATCCAATAACATTTTCACAACAAGCTCCCGTCACCTAAAAGGTAAAGTCAGGGATTAAATAACAAAATAACAATCTATATTGTAAATACACAGTAACTCATCTCAGACCTCATTATTAATGACTTTCTTCAAACTTAATCATTAAGTATATTTTTCCAAAAATGGTTCTTTAATTTATCCTTTACAAGTATTTAAAATACTAGTATTTGAGTAATGACTGTAAACAACAGCAGAAAGAATATTTAAAATTTAAAAAATATTTAAAATATTTAAAATTACAGCCAAGAAAACTCTATGGGACAGTTGTAATCTGTAACATTTGGGGTCTACAGGAGTCATAATTGACATCATAAGCAGAATACAAATACATTAAAATAAAAAGTGAATTACAAAACTATTTACACATCAAAGACTGGTCAAGAAAAAAGATTAAAAAGTTACAAAGCAAACACTCTCTAATAAGAAAACTAATAACCTACCAAGGAATAATTATAGTCCCTGTAAGGTAAATACTGGAGAGAAGAAGGCTCTGGAAGCTTTTTGGAAATTATCTGTCGGCGAATAGATACACCTCGTTCATGGGTTTCCATCAGAGTTTCCAATTTGTAAGCTGGGATATGCTTGGCATTGACTAAGCGGATGACCTCTGCATCACTAAGGAATTTTGCACCTTTCTAAAGAAATGAAAAAAAAAAAGGGAGGGCGAAGGGAAGATGACAACAAAAGATTTAAAGACTCTACTACGTATTAGTCATAATAAATAATTCCTAATTAAAATATAAATCTTTTATAGCATACTGCTGTTTTTTATAAAAACAAGATATACTTGTATAGAAACAATCTAGATGTCCAACAACTGAGGAATGGATAACCAAACTTTGGTACATTCACACAATGGAATACTATGCAATGCTAAAGAATAATGTAGAATCT